ATTGAGTTTTTAACAGAGATGTACTAAAATGAACAAAAACTAAACGTTAGACATGATTTTGAATGAATTGAAAGTTTAGGTACTAAAACAGACAAAAACTTATAATTTAGGTATTAGACTCATAGTTTACCCTTTAGAATATTAATATGTTTTGACTTTAGAACAATAATATCAGGTTGTCAAAATTAATACTTTATATATTAATCGATTGAAAATGTTATAAATATATCAAACTATTAAAATAATGAGATTTATACTAAAAATGTCAATATCGAAAGAAATTACCAATTCTATAAAAAGAAATTAAATTTAAAAAAATATTAGAGACCAAACATTAAAAGAAAGTCAAATTAAAACATTGGAGGGACCACTATAAATTAATAAAATTTCAGATAGTGACGGTGAAAATTAAATAAAATTTGGAAATATAGAAGGGATTAACATGAAATTTGAATTGATTTAGGAGGTTATGTAAATTTAACTTTTTGAAATATTTTTTTATTAGTCTAAGTAAATATGAGATGATATTTGTTAAAAGAAAATTTTTCAACCTTTCGATAATAAATGTTCATACTCCTTACATCTATAATGTTCGAACTCGAATTCTTAAAGAATAACAATAATTTATTTATTAAATAAATTTTAATAAAACACTATAACATATCATTAAATTAAAAATTATAATATATTCCAATATTGTTCTTAAATAATGATAATTTAAACGAAATTTAAAATCTTAATATTTCAATTTTCCCATTGGTATCAACACCTAATTAACAATTTTAGTTTATTAAATAAGATAAATTTTAATCTATATATTCATTATCTGAATTATATTATTTATATTGTTACAAATTGTATAATTAAATATTTAAATTTGAATTAAAAACAGAGAATATATTCTTTTAAGAGGATTTAAATATTGGTTACCTAAATTTTGAAATAGATTAGGATTCATATATTTAATATATAACTTAAATTTTCATTAATAAAAAGATCTTAAAATTTCAAATTTTAAATTTCAAATTTTTATTAAATCTAAATATCTAGTATATAATAATAAAAATTTTAAATTCAGATAGTATTATTTAAACAATATAAAATAAATTAAATGATTTAAAAATTATAAATATTTAATCAGGTATCATTCCTACTTAATGTGTAATTGAAATTAATTGAATAAATGTTGTAGTCCGCATCAATTTAATCATAGAGGAAGAATTAAATAGAATATGTATTGTTTTGGGAGTTAAATATTCTTCGGTCAATGCATATGCAATGCCGCAAAAAGTGTTCGAACAAGATGGTTGAATATAGCAAAAACACTCATCACCTACAACTCTACAGATTCAACGCTGCATATATAATATCTCAACTAAGTGAATTTGTCATCACTCCCACTCAGTAATTTAGAAGAAGAAAAAAAACTGCTTTTCTTTTTCTCCATATGACATAATCAGAATTGGATATTTTCTTGATTCCAACAGTTTAACCTGTGAAAAGAATCTCTTACAACAAGTTCAATCTTTTCATCTTCTGTCTCTGCCTTTTAGTTTTCGTATTCTTTTTCGATTCAATGTTGTTTATGTGTTTTTACCCAGAAATTCATTCCCCCCCCCCCGGCAAAGTTTGTATTTTTCTAAACGTAGCTTTAGTTATGTGTTTTATTCTTCAATTATGTGTGAATTTGATCAAGGGTGCTTCTGATTTGAATAATTTAATAGTTTTTGCTTTGTAAAATCCCAGTCTAAGGCTTTTTGTGATTGTGGGTTATGTATATCAAGCTTTTACTTTGCTTAAATCACATAAATGCTTGTGAAACTGAGCATTAAATACATAAAGGCTTGACTTTTTTATATATGATTTTGTTGACAGCATTAAATCCTACCACCGTTTATTGGATACTAAGCTTCTTTTGATTCCAAGTCGCTGTACGAGGCATTTAAAAGAGAGCAACTATGGTGTTCCCTGATGATGCTTCTCGAAGGCTTGAGGTTTATCATTCAACTTTCTGATTCCTCCTCAGTTTTTAACTAATACAATTTGCAGGATGAATATGTTTTTTTTCCCTGTCATATAGGGAAAGAAAATGGCTATAGTTGTGTGTTGGCTGCTTGGGAATGGCTGCCTCTTTTCTTGGAATAGTATGCTGACCATACAAGATTACTATTCTTATTTGTTTCCGGTAATTTCACTATCCAAATTTTTTACATGTTTGTGCTCACTTTTCAATTATTTCTCATGGTTGTGTTATTGTGACGGTGTTTGATGATAATATAAATGCTCACCTAAAACTATTTGCAGCTGATTTTGTTTTGATCTGCAATAAATGAGCTTCAGAAGACTGTGTCTTGAACAGATTTTGTTGTCAATCTGAGTTCTTTTTTGATTTAGTCAAATATACAGTTCAACGTTCTAGTTCATGAATAAATCATTGACATAGATCATGTTGTTTGAGAACCATGTCGATGAGACAATGTGAATGTCTTCCGGCTTCCATTCGATATATAAATCTGCACTTGGGTCATTTTGAATACATTTGTAACAGAAAGCTAGGGAACTATGTTTTGCTTTCTTTAAGCACTGTCACTTTGTCAATCTGCATGCAAAATTTGTTACCAATTTTACTGCTGCAGCTAACTTTTCGAATTGTGGGACTTCTTTCCTGCTGTCAAATTCTATATTTTTACGAACAATGCTACTTTATCTTGCCGAGTGCTTCCACTCTCCATAGTTCCTCTGTTTTTTAACTTGAAATATGCAATGGGGATAATTATGAATGTTATCGTCATGTAACCGAGTTTCTTTTCCTGTATGCAGCATTACCACCCATCTAGGGTCCTTACTCTTGTTTATCAGCCGTTTGCACTCGGAACACTTGCAATACTGGCTTACAAAGAGGCGAAAATCAACACAAGAAGAAGGAATTTATTTGGATATATATTGTTTTTCTTAAGTTCCCTTGCGGTTGTAGTTGTAAGTTCCCTTGTTACTTATTGCTACATGATAGGTTTACATTGAAGATTTCAGTGGAAACCTGCTTGTGTTTTCAAAATCTTCCATATGTTCTGGATTTATTAGCTGAAACTTATGTTTTCTCTCCTCTGTTTTATATATAGTTGGATTTAGCTACCTCTGGTAGAGGAGGACTCGAAACTTTCATAGGAATTTGTGTGATCAGTGGAGCTTTTGGGGTTGCAGATGCTCATGTGCAAGGTGGAATGGTTGGAGATCTCTCCTACATGAAACCTGAATTTCTTCAAGTCAGTACAAAAGACCAACATTTTTAGATGTTATTGAACTCTCTTTTGGCTGAATTTTCTGATGACTAAAATTTCATTGTTTATATGTCCTGAATTCCTCAGTCATATGTTGCTGGTTTGGCTGCGTCAGGGGCTCTAACCTCTGCATTGAGGTTAATCACAAAAGCAGCATTTGAGAATTCGCAGGATGGTTTTCGAAAGGGGGCCAGTAAGTTTTAATCGCCTTGTACTTAATTCTGTATTGTAAAAGAAAAAACATCTTTCTTGTTAATTAGTCTAAAGATCTGAAATTTGAATTAAGCTTGACAATATTGGTTTGTTTGAGTTGTAATTTCTCTCACTCTGTGCTAACTACACCTCTGTGCAGTTCTATTCTTTGCCATCTCTGCACTTTTTGAGCTTGTATGTGTTCTTCTCTACGCGTATGTTTTTCCTAAATTACCCATTGTGAAGTACTATCGCTCGAAGGCAGCCTCTGAAGGATCTAAAACTGTTACAGCTGACCTGGCAGCTGGTGGCATCCAAGCATTGCCTGAAGATGTAAGTCATTCTGCCCAGTGTCATTCATTAAAAATGTCCCTAGCATTTTTCATGTCATTATGTAGGAAGAATCAATGTCTTCTGCAGGATGTGATGGACACCAAGAAGCTGGAAAGGTTGAGCACCAAGGAGTTACTAATTCAGAATATCGATTATGCACTCGACATGTTTCTGATATATGCGTTGACACTGTCCATTTTTCCTGGATTCTTATCTGAAGATACCGGGAAACACAGTTTAGGCACCTGGTATGTTCTTGTCTTAAAGGCTGCCTTTCTTTCTAGGTGTGTGTATGTAGTTATAAGTTACACAGGATTTATCATTAACGTTTCAGGTATGCGCTCGTTCTGATAGCAATGTACAATGTATGGGATCTTATCGGGAGATACATTCCACTCATAAAACCGTTGAAGCTCGAATCGAGGAAAGCTCTCACAACCGTGATACTTTCTCGTGTGTTACTCATCCCAGCATTTTATTTCACGGCTAAGTATGGGGACCAAGGCTGGATGATCATGCTAACGTGCTTCTTAGGCTTATCTAATGGATACCTCACAGTCTGTGTCCTTACTTCCGCGCCCAAGGGCTATAAGGTTTGTTCCAATATTGTTATACTTGAATTTCTTTAAACCTGCAGAGAAATAAAATAGTAAAGATTTTTCTTTTTCGTTTTATAGGGACCTGAGCAGAATGCATTGGGGAATTTGCTTGTTTTGTTTCTGCTAGGAGGTATCTTCGCGGGGGTTACTCTCGACTGGTTGTGGCTCATAGGCAAGGGATGGTGAAGCTTTCTTCTAGGTTGGTTGGTTGGTTGTTAATTAATTTTTAAATTCTTAAATCTTCTGAGTGAAAAATACAATATATAATATTTTAAATATATTATTGATGTATAATCAATTAAATATGTTTTATACAAAAAGACGGATCAATTAAATATTTTATTTTGTATCAGAACCTTTTGTCAATAAAACATGATTTTATAAAACGGGGTGGGTTTTAAATCTTTTTATAGTTTTACGAATTAAAAGAATTATTATTGTTTTTAAAAATCACGAGTTCAAGTATTATTGGTCAATGTGATTGAATATTTATTATCAAAAGATTAAAAATATTTAGAACAAATACTACTTTATAATCAATCACCTTAAATAAATAAAAAAAAAATCTTTCCACAGCTGGACCCGAAACCGGTTGAGCATTCGTAATGAGTTGGATCCACGAGATGTAATGTGCATTCAGTCTGAGGATTAAAGCTATAAAACAACAAATGTGTACAGATTACATTCACATTCACATAAAATAATCGATATTCGAACTCTATGGAATTTCAAACTTGAGCAAGCTGCTGAAGATTTCCCTCTCATCATCTGCACTTCTGTTGTTGATAAATGTGGAAGATGAATTCAAAGGAGTTGACCTCACGCTCACAGAACCAAAGCTGCCTTCAATCGATTGCAAGTTAGAGTTTTCAGACAGAAGAGGAACCGTCGGATTTGGTGCATAGTGCACATAATTCGTCTGCAAATTTTCTTGGGAATTCGGGTAATCAAAGTTTGTAAAAATGTCGTGACAAAACCCTTGTCCATTGGCTTCCATGGTTTCCATTTGGCTTGGCACGGAACTACAAGGAACAGCATAAGACGCCGAAATTGTTGAAGCATTTTGGTGGGAGTTATAAAGCTGGTTTTTGTGAAGATATTGTGATAATATTTCTGAGTTTTCTTGCTTCAACAATAATAAGGTGTTAGCTAGGCTTAGCAATTGAGGGTTTAGTAACTCCGAGTTGAGAATCGAGGAAAGGTCAAGAACATCGAGGCGAGCGTGCGTAACGGGATCGATCCTGCTTCTTAGAAGCCTTTTCCTTATATGAGTGTTCCAGTAATTCTTGATTTCATTGTCGGTCCTCCCCGGCAAGCGAGCGGTAATAGCCAAGACAAACAGACACAAAAGCAAAAAGACAGCATGCAATGGAACCTTAGCCTTACTTGTTTCCATTACACTGTGTAGTTGAATTATGATCTCTTCTTCTACAAACGAAAACCTTCCCCTCTTGATATCAGGTCTAAGATAGTTTGTCCATCTCAGACGACAACTCTTTCCACATCTCTGCAGCCCTATAAAAGGTTGGAACAAATTCATCATCGTCGGAGCCTGAGAAAACAATTTAAAACGATGAATACAAGAGGAATAATAAGTTGATACCTGCATTCTTGGGAAGGGTACGCCAGTTTCCGGGGCCATGAATCTGGATATAATTTGTAAGCTTAAGATCTTCCCCGGGAGTCCAGGGACCTTTCTTGAGCCCATTTTTGTCACAGCAAGGAGTTCTTCCCATTGATTATTTGATTTCCCTTGTAAAATCAATATGAGCGGATGAATGGATCGTAATGGAACCATTGTTGAAAGTCAAACCATTTCGGTGCAATTAATGCACTGAATTGCAATTGTCAAAAAGCTTGGGCTGCAGAAATTGTTTTCAACATTCGGTGCAGCATTTGTTGATTTTTCAACAATAGTAAAACCTCAATTTTAGTTATTATAATTTAGGATATTTACAAATTAGTCCTTAAAGCTTCAACTATAAATATCCTAGCTCATTTAGCTTTAAAACCATTCCAAAGCATTCTAGCTTTCTTCCAATACTAGAGAGAATTTAGAGAGTTTCTTGAGAGTTATTTTTTCCTTTTTATCAAGAGAGAATTATCATTGTTTTCTCCTTGGTAGATCGAGAGAGGTTGTAATTCATATTTTTTCATAGTGAAATTCTTCTACCGTTGCCCGTGGTTTTTACCCTATATTATTTAGGGGTTTTCCACGTAAATTTTGTGTCTCTTTTATCTTCATTTTTATTTTCTCAAATTATCAGTTGTGATTTTGCTCTATCTGATAGTCATCTTCCGCAACAATTGGTATCAGAGCTAGATTAGAGTGTGTAATATATGCTTATTGTCTTTGTGGTTGCCACCAAAAGGTGGATCCTCCAACATAAGAAAGTAAGAAGTTATTACCCATTCTTTGAAGGTTCCAGAGAACTATTCAAGATAGTGAAATAGTGGGAGCTATCCATAAACGAAGCAATGGAAACGAAATTTGATATTGAAAAGTTCAATGGGAGAAATTTCTCATTGTGGAAATTGAAGATGAAGGCCATCCTGAGGAAAGACGGTTGTCTAGCAGCTATCAGCGAAAGGCCAGTAGATTTCACAGACGACAACAAATGGATCGAAATGGACGGAAATGTTATGACAAACTTTTATCTAGCATTAGCAGATGAAGTATTGTCAAGTATCGAGGAGAAGAAGACAACTAAGGAGATATGGGATCATCTCACCAAATTGTACGAGGCCACATCGTTGCACAATAAAATTTTCCTTAAGAGAAAATTGTACACTCTCCGTATGCCAGAATCTACTTCAGTGACGGAGCACTTAAATACACTGAACACTTTATTTTCTCAGCTTACATCTTTAAGCTGTAAAATAGGAGAATAAGAACGTGCTGAACTTCTACTTCAAAGTCTACCGGATTCGTATGATCAACTCATCATCAACTTGACAAACAGTAATGTCACCAGTCTAGTCTTCGATGACGTTGCAGCTGCTGTTCTACAAGAAGAAAATCGGTGCAAGAACAAAGAAGACAGACAAGTAAACCTGCAACAAGAAGAAGCGTTGACAACGATGAGAGGGAGATCAACAGAACGTGGCCAAAGCAGCAGTCACAAACATGGTAGATCGAAGTCGAGAAGCAAGAAGAATTTAAAGTGCTACAACTGTGGAAAGAAGGGTCACTTGAAGAAGGATTGTTGGAGTCTCAATAAAAACTCCAATCCACAAGGCAATACCGCAAACACTTCAGATGATGGAGATGCTTTATGCTGTGAAGCGTCAACTACCGTGGAAGGCAGAAAAAGATTTGCAGATATATGGCTCATTGATTCGGGAGCAACATATCACATGACCTCAAGAAGAGAATGGTTCCATCATTATGAACCTGTCTCAAGAGGATCTATGTATAGTTGCAATGATCATGCCTTAGAGATCGTTGGCGTTGGAACCATCAAATTAAAGATATATGATGGAACAATTAAAGTTGTTCGAGATGTGCGGTACGTGAAAGGCTTGAAGAGAAATTTATTATCCTACGGATTGTTAGATAATAATGCAAGCAAGATTGAAACACGGGAAGGAATAATGAAGGTGTTCTGTGGAGCGCTTGTGGTGCTGAAAGGCGAAAAAATTGCTGCAAACTTATACATGCTGAAGGGAGAGACTTTGCTAGAAGCAGAAGCCTCTATTGCCTCATGTAGTTCAGATTCTGCAATGTTATGGCATCAGAAACTTGGACACATGTCAGAACAAGGAATGAAAGTCCTTGTGGAGCAAAAGCTACTTCCAGGCTTAACAAAGGTATCACTTACTTTGTGTGAGCATTGCATAACAAGTAAACAGCACCGGTTAAAATTCAACACATCAACTTTTATAGGCAAAAGTGTTCTAGAACTGGTTCACTCTGACGTATGGCAAGCACCAGTTACATCCCTAGGCGGAGCAAAATATTTTGTCTCATTTATTGATGATTACTCTAGGAGATGTTGGGTATATCCTATTAAGAAGAAGTCAGATGTGTTTTCAACTTTCAAAAACTTCAAAGTGTGAGTGGAACTTGATTCTGGAAATAAGATCAAGTGTTTCAGAACAGATAATGGAGGAGAATACACAAGCGAAGAATTTGATGACTTTTGCAGGAAAGAAGGCATCAAAAGACAGTTCACAGTGGCGAACACTCCTCAACAAAATGGAGTGGCAGAGCGCATGAACAGAACCTTGTTAGAAAGAACAAGAGCAATGTTGAGGGATGCAGGCCTAGAAAAATCATTCTGGGCAAAAGCAGTCAATACCGCTTGTTATTTGGTGAATCGAGCTCCATCAACTACAATAGAGCTGAAGACACCAATGGAGATGGGGACTGGTAAACCAGCTGATTATTCAAACCTCCATGTATTTGGAAGTATTGTGTACGTGATGTACAACTCCCAAGAAATTTCAAAGCTAGATCCAAAATCCAGGAAATGCAAATTCTTGGGGTATGCTGATGGTGTAAAGGGGTATCACTTGTGGGATCCCACTGCCCGCAAAGTGATCATCAGCATGGATGTTATCTTTGTAGAAGATAAACTACAAAGAAAAGAAGATGATGATGGCGCTGAAAAGTCAAAGACTACTTAGATACATGTGGAAAAAGAGTTTGAACAAGGAGATTCTTCTGAAGCAGAACCAGCACATGATGAACAAGAACCAGAGAGTTCTGAAGCTCTAACAACTCGTCAATCAGATCGTGTGAGAAGACGTCCCAATTGGCACTCAGATTATGTTATAGAAGGTAATATTGCATACTGCATTTTAACAGAGGACGGTGAGCCATCAACATACCAGGAGGTAATAAACAACTCAGATGCTTCACTGTGGATGATGGCAATGCAAGAAGAAATTGAAGCCCTTCATAAAAATAATACATGGGACCTTGTGCCACTACCACAAGGAAGGAAGCCAATTGGTAACAAATGGGTCTTCAAAATCAAGCGAAATGGTGACGATCAAGTTGAGAGGTATCGTGCAAGACTGGTGGTCAAAGGATATGCTCAAAAAGAACGTATTGATTTCAATGAAATATTTTCTCCTGTGGTTCGACTAACAACAGTTCGAGTAGTTTTGGAAAAGTGTGCTACATTGGACTTACATATAGAGCATCTAGATGTTAAAACAGTTTTTCTTTATGGAAATCTTGAAGAAGAAATTTATATGCTCCAGCCTGAAGGTTTTGAAGAAAAAGAAAAGAAGAACTTGGTTTGCAGGTTGAACAAATATCTGTACGGTCTAAAGCAGGCGCCGAGGTGTTGGTATAAGAGATTTGTTTCTTTCATTATGTGCCTTGGATACAACAGACTTAATACAGACCCTTGTTCTTATTTCAAGAGGTCTGGTTAACGATTTTGTTATTTTGCTGTTGTATGTGGATGACATGTTGGTTGCAGGACCCAACAAAGATCATATTGAAGAATTGAAGGCACAACTGGCTAGGGAATTTGAAATGAAGGACTTGGGATCAACAAACAAGATTCTAGGGATACAAATTCACCGAGACAGAAGTAATAGGAAGATTTGGCTTTCACAAAAGAATTATTTGAAGAAGATCTTGTCACGATTCAACATGCAAGATTGTAAGCCAATTTCTACTCCTCTTCCTATTAATTTCAAATTATCCTCCAGTATGAGTCCTAGCAGTGAAAAAGAGAGGATGGAGATGTCTCGAGTACCGTATGCATCAGCAGTGGGAAGTTTAATGTTCGCTATGATATGCACAATACCAGACATTGCACAAGCAGTGGGAGTGGTTAGTCGGTACATGGCGAATCCAGGCATAGAGAATTGGAATACAATAAGAGGATCCTGAGATACATCAAAGGGACCTCAATATGCATTATGTTACGGAGGATCAAATGGGTTGTAGATTCTGACTATGCAGAGGATTTGGATAAAAGCAAATCTACTACAGGGTATGTGTTCAAAGTTGCTGGTGGAGCTGTAATCTGGGTTTCAAAATTGCAGTAAGTTGTGGCTACGTCAACAACAGAAGCAGAATATGTAGCAGCTACACAAGCCAGTAAAGAAGCAAATTGGTTGAAGATGCTATTGGAGGAGCTTGGGCACAATCAAGAGTATGTCTCTCTATTTTGTGACACTCAAAGTGCCTTGCATCTAGAAAGGAATCCAACATTTCATTCAAGGAAAAAACACATACAAGTTCAGTACCATTTCATTCGTGAAAAGGTGGAAGAAGGGACAGTAGATATGCAGAAGATCCATACCAAAGACAACATAGCAGATTTCATGACGAAGGCGATCAATGCTGATAAATTTACCTGGTGTCGATCCTCCTGTGGCCTTTCATAAACGTAAGCAACATGAAGGTACAAGGTAGAAAGAATGGTGTGAAGATATGATTGTTCCAATCAAATCTTCAAGTGGGAGATTGTTGAAAGTCAAGCCATTTCGGTGCAATTAATGCACTGAATGGCAATTGTCAAAAAGCTTGGGCTACAGAAATTGTTTTCAACATTCGGTGCAGCATTTGTTGATTTTTCAACAATGGTAAAACCTCAATTTTAGCCATTATAATTTAGGGTATTTACAAATTAGTCCTTAAAGCTTCAACTATAAATACCCTAGCTCATTTAGCTTCAAAACCATCCCAAAGCATTCTAGCTTTCTTCCAATACTAGAGAGAATTTAGAGAGTTTCTTGAGAGTTGTTTTCTCCTTTTTATCAAAAGAGA